CTTGGGTTCGTTCGCCAGCACTCATCAGACAAGGGGCAGGACAAGATGAACAAGCATCAAAAAGACAGATGGGAAAAGGCACAGTGTGGCGAAGAAGAAAAAGAAGGAGGGGGGCAGCAGAGCAGGACAGAGCAGACAGACTGTAAGGTTCACGCTGGGAGGTTTACGAGTTTTATGAACTAAGGTGAAATGGAGCAAGGCACAGGCAGGAAGGGCTCTGAAGAAAAGGTGAGGGGGCTTAGAAGCAAGATGACAGGTAGCAGAAATCACTTCCCCAGGACTAACCAGATGGAGAGTGTGGGGATAGACCATAGGACAACCTAACAGCTTAAAAGATGTGAGGAGGAACAGGATGGAGTGACTTTATGCTTGGATCTCAGAAGGCTGAGGCACAAACAGGACTAAACAAGGTTCTTAGTTCTGGGATGTACACAAACCAATGGCGTATGTGTCCCAACCCTCAAAGTGACAGCTGTCCTTGGCAAAGAAAAAGCAGGGAGCCCAAGCCACGGACTCACAGAGATGGGCTCTCAGGTTTTCCCTTCCCTCACCCAGCTCTTAGCCAGGAAACACTAACACAAGAAGGGCTGCACCTGAAAATGTCTAAGCTTTACTATTATTATTTTGGTTTTTTTGAGACAGGGAATCACTATGTAGTCCAGGTTGGCCTGTGCCTCTCAAGTGCTGGGATTATAGGCATGCACCACCACACCAAGCTAAGCTTGAAACTTGTGTTTTATCCTAGAAATTTCAAGGTGAAACACTCCACCCCAAGCATCTCAGCCTTATGCCTGGTTCTGAGATCCTGAGCCATGGGGCACATGGTGTCCAGTGTCCAGGGCCCATGGAGACCTGATCCATTTCTCCCCCCACATCTTGTCAGACAAAGCCACCTCAGGAGATGTATGTGGCTGACCCAGAGACTTAAAGACATCTTCATGGACAAGACCCTTCATAAATGTTGTGGGACATGCATGATTATGGGGAATGCGGAGTGATAAAGAGACCCTTAGGCTGGGTGCCAGTGGCTCACACCTTTATAATCTAGCCTGGCCTAATAGTTTGTGAGACCCTATCTCGAAAAAAACCCATCATAAAAAAGGGCTGGTGGAGTGGCTCAAGATGTAAGCCCTGAGTTCAAGCCCCAGCACCTCAAAAGAGAGAGAGAGAGAGAGAGAGAGAGAGAGAGAGAGAGAGAGAGGGAGAGAGACCCTTAAACTTTAAGACAGATTCACAGCTAACTTCGAAGCCTGAACCTAAGTCTCACCTTCCTCCCCAGAGGGCAGATGGAGTGGAGAAAGCACTCCACCTCACCCAAGCTTTTAGGCTGCTTTCTGGGCCAACTTCTAACTAGAGAAATACCTCAAAGTGACACAAATGCCTGTTGAAAACAGGCATGGTTAAACACCATTCTTAAATTCAAATGACTTTTAGTGCTAGCCACCCGAATCAGTCCATTTTCATTAAATCAATCAAAATGCAGTTACCATGTTTGACCTCCACAATTTATGTTAGGTACTAATCAGCTCAATAATTTTCTGGCACTCTAAATTACAATTAAACTCTCAGTTAAAACAAACCACAAGCACTAAGTGGCTAAGCAACTTTTCCTGAGTCTGTCTCCTTGAGACCCATGTAAATTAGGCCTCAGGTGACCCATGCCCCAGGCATGCCTGCTGCCTGCCAGGCCCACCTTTGACCCAAGCAAGCACTGTGATTACAAAGGCGCAGTCACAGGCTTCAAGGTTCCCGCAGGTACTTCAGGTGAAGCCAGAGTTCTGTTCTCGCCTCACCTAAATGACGATGGTGAACTGGAAAGGATATTTCCAGAAAAACTCTACTGCACTGTGTTTTCCTTAACGAGCCAAAAATAAAGTGAATACTGAGGATGTTATTCCACACAGTTACAATCAGAAAGAAGGGGCAAAAGATACCATGTGAAATCATATTCCAGTTTTGGAAGAAGGAAGGCAATGTATTTCATTTTCAAATTAAAAAATATTTTCTAACAATTCAAGAGGAAGTTAACCACTACCTAAACAAAAACAGTTTACAAATGGCTGCTTGAAAAAGACAACGGGTGGGAGGGCGAAGGGGGAGACATGCGACCTCAGAATTTGAATTTTGAATTCTTCTGTAAATTCATGCATAAAATTTGCAAGCAAACTTCAGAATTTTGAAAATAGGGAAATTAGCAAGTTTCAACGTCAGACCATGGAAACACCTCTTTATTAAATCTAGTGCCTGGAGAAGATCTTTGCCTGCAATGACCAGGCTTGTCCCAAGCGCTGTAAGGTTTTGGAACACATAACCCCCCATCCCCGTGCCTCTCCCTCCACCCCTCTCCCCCCTTTAGCCCCCCACAGACACATAATTGTCCAACAGCACCCTGCCTGGATTCTGAGGAAGAAGTGAGCCAGACCAAGTTTCTCTCAAAATGTGAACTAGCGCCGGGCGCTGGTAGCTCACACCTATAATCCTAGCTACTCAGGAGGCAGAGATCAGGAAGATGGAGGCTCAAAGCCAGCCTTGGCAAACAGTTCTGTGAGACCCTATCTTGGAAAAAACCTTCACAAAAAAGGGCTGGTGGAGTGGTGCAAGGTGCAGGCCCTGAGTTCAAACCACAGTACCACAAAAATAAATAAATAAATGTGAACTAGCAAATGTTGACAGGAACTGGTCACTTGGAAGATGAAAGAATGCACCAAGAAATGCCACAAAGTTGAACTGGAGCCAGAGCAGTTGTGGCCAGCTGAGAAAGCATAGGAGCCGAAGCCACAAGGGAGGGGACAAAAAGGCTCTGGCATATGGAGTGAGGCAGGGTCCCATGGGGTGAGGTTCCAGGGACAACTGCTGCTGAGGCCCCCAGAGCTGCCAGGAAGCTCTCTCCACTGCCAGGCTACAGCCTGTCCCAGTCCAACCGCCTGAACCTCTGTGTGATTGCTGCCACACCACATGCACTGCCCCTAACAAAACTCCCTTTGAAGCTGGCTGGAGTGGGCTGTGCTCCACAGGACCAGAAGTGCCATCAGCACACAGTATGCAAACAGGAACATGCCTTTTTCAGAGGTCCTTCACACAAAAGACTGGACAGTCCTACTCAGACACACTCAAGGGACATACAGAACTGTTTTTAAGGAACACCCTCACCCCAAACACAAACAAAAGTCCCCACCTGACAGACTGCACACAAGGGAGCATGGGGGTGGGGTGTACTAGATCCAAATGTTCTGTCTTGATAAAGGTGTAGGTGACTCTTTTGCTAAAACTGATCAAGTGGGGCTGGTGGAGTGGTTCAAGTGGTAGGAAAAAAACTGATCAAGCTGTACAGCTAAGGTGACCATTTCACCATATATAAATTAACATCTCAAAAACAAAACTCCCCTGGTTCTCTTATGAGGCCTTGAGTTTATTTTTTAACTTTAATTAGCATAAATTGCACAAAGGGGTTTCACTGTGATATTTACATATATACATATAATGACGTTTGATCAAATTCACCCCTCCTATATCACTCTTTAATGTCCCTGTCTCCCCCCAAACCCCACACTATTTTTCTTTGCAGTACTGGGGCTTGAACTCAGGGACTACACCTTGAGCCACTCCACCAGCCCTTTTTTGTGATGGGTGTTTTCAAGATAGGGTCTCGTGAACTATTTGCCTAGGCTGGCTTCAAACCGCAATCCTCCTGATCTCTGCCTCCTGAGTAGTTAGGATTATAGGTTAGGATTACCCATACCTGGTCCTCCCTCCTTTTTAACAGGTATAAGTGGTTTCATCATGCTATTCTCTTACACATATATAGGATATGAATTTTTATTTTGTTTTTCAAAACTGTATATTTAATCTCCCAAACATAATGCTGAGCAGAAAGAACTGGATTAAAAAAACCTGAGTTTCTGGTTCTATAAAGAACAGAAACAGATAACAGTCAGTCTCCTATAGTCACTTATACCAAGACAGCAGCCACCCCCATAATGGTGTGGTGACTAACCTGTAATCCCAGCTACTCTGAAGGCTGAACCAGGAGGATCTTGAGTTCAAGACTACTCTAGTTAACACACTGCAACCGTGTCTCAAAATAAAGTATAAAAGGGCTGATAATGTTAGCTTGGTGGTACAGTGCTTGCCTACCATGTGCCAGACCCCATATTCAATCTCCCATACTGGAAAAAAAAAAAAAGAAGAGACCAAAATAGTGGTTCACTTTGAGAGAGTGGGGAGCAGAGACCCAAAGGAGCAGAGGGTGACTCCTCACCAGGCTGTAATGCTCACTTCTTGGCTTGGCATCACTCACAGGAGTGCTCAGGCTGACATATTTTCCTCAAGGTGTATGTTCATGGTATGTGTATGTGTTACCTCAATAACAACACAAAAGAGAAGGGATGGAATATCTGATAGTAATCTAAAAGTGATTAGAAAAGGTTTTTCATATCTAGCAAAATGTTTATTTTCAGCTAAATTCTTCAGGTAGATAACAAGAAAACAAAGACTTCAGTTACCCCATTTGTGGCATTTTGATTTGACTCACAGATTTGCTATTAGGTGAAAAAACTCATTCAAGAGTCACTTAATGTGATTCCAGCCTCAGTGCTCAGTTCTGAGGCTGCCTGGATTGCATTTGCCCGTGGCCAGGGCATTCTTCCAACCAAGTGGTGGAGGAAAGACCTACACTCCACTTCCCTTTACTACTTTAACAGAGAAAAACAGCAAGATCCACAGGAAGCGTTTAGTCAGAATCCCACTTCTGTGTTTTCAAAGGGAGAATTACTGCTAATTGATACACTACCCTCAAGGGCATTTTTAAAAAACAAATGTGTGGATTTTGATTTATCAGAGGCTTATATTTTTAAAACATCTTACAGACTCTACAGTTTGTAATCATTAAGACAAGACTAAGTGAAGCAGTAACGACAATGAATGTCAAGCTTACAAATCATCAAACTCTAACACTTAAAAAAAGAAGGAGCCCAAGAGTAAATTGAAATGCAAATACTTACAGCCATAATTAATTCAAAAGGGTGTTTATACACCCTCACCGGTGACTGGTATTTTTGCACCATGATTGTAGTATAACAGCTATCCTCTCACACCTGCAAAACATAAATGTACAGGATAAACAGCCACAATACAGAAAAAAATTAAGTCTGCATTAATATATCGTACCACATTCTAGGGTAAAAAGGGACAATAGGTCACAATTCCCTGCATACAAAAACACACAGGCAAGGGGAGGTAGCAAGATAATAAGAAAAGACCAAGTTGAACGAGAAAACCACCGTCCATTCCCCTCATCCGCATTATGGGATGTGAGACACTAGGCTAGACACCCTCGTCCTTTCTAGGATGCAATTATTATAATCATTTTCTCTTGAGCAACTTCTAGTAGTCGCCAAATAAAAATAACATGTTAGGACATGAGCTCTGGGGAAAAGGCAAAAATAAAAGTGGAAAAAAACAACTATCATATCTCAAATCATGGAATACTCCAGCTAGCTTGAAGCGGGACTTTTGTTGTTTCCTGTTTTCTAATTGTGTGTACTACAATTTTAGAGCCCTGTCTTCAATGGCAGCAAGTCAAGCACGTAGCCAAAGGGAATCTAAAATCCCCAGCCTCAAATAGCTGTGATGGCTGCAAACAGGCAGCAAACACCAGCTCCAGCCTGAGGCCAAAGGACCCTACTGGTCAGAGTACTCACTCTCTAGTGCCAGCCTACTTGGGTTTTCTTAAAACATACTGTTTGGAGTCATCTGGGACTCTACTCACCATTCAAAAGTGAGGAAGAAAAACAAATCCTATGAGCCCACCTGTCCTGCTGAGAATACTACACTTGATCTTAGCCAAAAGGCAGAGTAATGATCGCTGGGAGAACAATCATTAAAAGAACCATTAATAGGGCTGACTAGTGGTTCAAGCACTAAGAGTGCCTGTCCAGCAAGTGTGAGGCCCTGAGATCAAACCCCAGTGCCACCAATTTTTAAAAAATTGAAATTGTTATTTTATCTGAATATGGTGAAAGGATATTCAAAAGTTAAAAATCGAATATCCTCAAGTATTCCAAAGTCTAGCTATTAAAAAAATAATAAATTATACATTTTATTTCAGAAAACTGCTATCTCTACTTGCATTTCTAGTGTTTACATTACTTTAAACAGATCTGGAACTCTCTGGTCTGTTTGGCACACATCTCAGAAGGGGCAGGTTATGCAGTGAAAACCACTGTGACGGTGGAAAAACGGGTAAGCACTAACTGGGGGGTGACTTCCCAGCAAGCCATTTCTGTAAAAAACGAGGCCCCCAGCCTTAAAATCACGAGATTCAGAGCCGAACTCCATGAGTTTTCCAAACTCATCTCGAAGCTGGTGCACGGTGGGGCTCTCATGCAAACTCTTCCATTTTTAACTGGGAAAATTCATTTCCAAATCTCTCTCAGGGATCAGAGGCACAGACAAGGGTGGGGAGAAGATGCAAGAAAAGCGTGATTCGCTAGTTGAAGAAACTGTTAATACCCAATCCCGCTGGGCCAAAGTGACTACTCTACACGGGACCTGCTAATTCACCGGGTCCAGATAAACGCCCTGCGCGGGCGTCCGGAGTGACCACCGCCAAGGGGCCCGGGGGACAGGGGCGACCTCTGTTGCGTGACAACTGGGGTTTAAAATCAGCCAATGGCCGGACCCAGTGAACCCCTCCCCTCAGGCTCTGGGGCTCCAGAGCGGTCCAGGGCGGCGGAGCCCGGGAGGAGGGTTCGGGGCTGGCTGTGGACCCCAAGTCTGGCCCGGCAGGAAGGGGCTCTCGGGGGTGGGGAGCCCTGGGGGGGTCTCCGGCTCCCGGCCGAGGGGGGTGGGGAAGGGTGTGGGTCGTCCCGGGCCGACCAGGCTAGGGGACAGGGGTCGGGGACGTGCTCGGAGCCCGCCGCGGGGACGCGCACCTACCTCTTGTCAGAAAGGCCGGGACGGGGACGCGGGGCGGCGGGATTCGCTCATGCCGGCGACTCCGCGGGGCCGTCGCCGTTCCACTGCTCGGCAACCGCGGCTCGACCGCCGGTTCCGGGGAAGGGGGCTGGGGCGGGAGGGACGAGGGGCGCGGCGAAGGCTCGAGTGGTTGTTACGGGTGACGGGGAGGGCGGGACCGAAATGCCGGAAGGATCGCGCGTGCGCAGACGCGGCATAGGTGGGCAGAGGCGGGAGCTGGCGGCCGTTGCTAGGGAGGGGGAGGGGTGACAACGGGCGCGGGGCTCACACTGCGCAGGCGCAAGATCCTGGTCGGCGGGCGTAGGCGGAGCTCCAGAACACTTAGGCCCTAGGCGCACCGGGGATTTCGCCCGTGGACCGGTGGATCCTCCCCTTTTTGCGTCATGGGGGCGTGGCGATGGGTAGGGGCGTGGCGAGAGCGGGGCTCCGCGAAGGTGGTGAGAGACACAAAAGGGGTAGTTTCGCTGACCTGGAACTGGGAAGGTGTGCGTGGTCAAGATCAGTCGACCCTTGGCTGCTCGGGCTGGCGCCGGCGCTTGCTCCCTCTGCAGCTTCCCCCCAGAGCTTCCTCATTTGGGGCTGACGGTTCAGAAGCAGCAGACACTTCTGCAAGTAATGCCCTGACCACACTCTCCAATGGAGATGAGGCAGACATCAAGGCTGGGGAGGGGCTAGGTGGAACCAGGAGCATCCTTGTGGACTCATCCGTAGGGCTGTAGTGTCAGGCTATGGGGTGGAACTAAAAGAGGAAACATGGATCCCCATTGGGCGGTTAAGTAGGTCTTGCATTTCAGCAAGAGAGCAGCAGTCCCAGCCCCGATCTTAAAACATCAGTGTGACACACGCTGAGACATTTAAGGGTCCTCGAGAGGCGCTGCTGACTACAAAGGGACACCTGCCACGCCCACCCACACAGCAAAGCTGGTTTTGTAACCAACATACCATTTCTCCATCAATGTCACTGTTGTTCCGTTCACGTTAGTCACCCCGGGTACATATGAGGTTTGCCCTTGCGCAGAACGCTCGTGGAACTGTTTTGGAATTTCCTTCGGGGCCTGTTTACCAGCCACACAAGTAAATCATTCATTCCTTGATCACACCCTGTTTTTCAACTCAAACCATCATTTTCCAGCTTGGTCACCTACATTATTCACTAGTCTCAGTCTGACTCGCTGTTGCCTCTCTGTAGAACTCACATCGACGTTTAAAAGATGCTTTGAAAGAGAAAGATGGGTCTCCTGGCGGGAAAGGACTGTAGCACCTATTGAAATGGTCTCACCCAAAAATCCTCCTGATCTAACAGACTTGTAGCTGTAACTACCAATTTACAGGAAACAGAGAACAGAAGAGCAAGCTAAATGACACCGTGGGAAACAGTGGGAAAAGTTCAGACCGTGGGAATATTCTTTATCAAATAAACTCAAAGGAAAAATAGGGGACAGCTCCAAAATATTGATTAAAAGGCATTGGGAAATTCATTGAGTCACACATAGATTCTCTTTTTCTATAAATATTATTCAATTAAAATTTTTAAAGAAAAAACAGAAATCATAAGCCAATAACAATATATGAACTTTATTTCCATCATGATTTGAACAAACAAAAGGGTAAAAAAATAAACACTATTTGAACATTTAATGATATTAAGGGATTATGATTAATTTTTGAGGTGGGGTAATGGAATTATGTCTAATATTTTTATACATTTTTAGATATATCTCAGTAATGGAGCACTTGCCTAGCATGCCCAAGGTCCTGGTTTAATCCCTGCCACCACAAAAAAAAAAAAAAAGTTTTATCTTTCAGCGGTACACTCTGAAATATTTTAGGGTGAAATGATATGATGTCTGGGATTAGCTTTAAAATAGTCCAGATGGGGAAAGGGAGAGGTAAGGGCACAGAGAAAAGATTAGTCCCAAACTGATAATTGTTCATTACACTATTCTGCCCATTTTTGAATATGCTTGAAATTGTCCAAACTAAAAGGTTTTGAACAAAAAAGACAGTTTGGCAGGGCATGGTGGCACACATCTATAATCCTAGCATTTGAAATCTGAGGCAGGAGGATCACAAATTCAAGGCAAAACTGGACTACATATCAAGACCCTATCTCAAAAATAGAAAACAAAACAAGACAGTTTGTCACTACCAGAATGGCAAATCTCAAGATGTAATTATAAAAGATATTTGAAAATGTCTCAAGCAATATTACTATTAAGATACATGAACAAGTTCTGCAGGTGAAAAATTCCAAGGAAATTTGTTTGGATGCATAACTTAGAGCATCTTTGATTTATTGGGGTTTTGTTTGTTTGCTTGTTTTTTGGCAGTGCCTAGGATCAAACCCAGGACCTCAAATGCTGGGCCACTTAGTTACATACACCCCCAGCCTCCATATGTTTTCAAATCGGCATTGTTTTGCTGTCCAAAATCTACAAGAAATTCTACAGATCAACCTGCCTGGGGTTAAATGAAAAGATCCAGTCTTTATGCTTTGGTTCATGTGAGCAGAGCTCTTGTTATGTGTCAGCCACCACGTGAGAAATACAGATGACATGGGGAAGGGGAGAGTAGTGGGATCAGGCTTGACTGCCAGTGACCAAAAGCCCAAAGTAAAAGTGTTGTGATGAGATAGAAGCTGAGGTTCCTGTGTGAATGAGGTCCAGAGCTGGTAAGCCATCTACCTCCCTGATCACTGACAACTACTGACTCCCCAAAGATCACCAAGCAACCTGTTGATGAAACAGACCTCCCTACTGCAGCAGTGAACAGCACCGTCCACCAGTTACACTGAAGACACTCTTGGTGTATGGACACTCTTGCAGGGTCTGGGTGGGTTTTTCTCAGTTTGGGGTCTTTATTTAAACATTCAAGGCAGGTTTCACTGCTAGGATCTGATAGGATTGAACCATGTTTGTGATGCAACTGTTTAAGCCACTTGGTCATAAGGAGGCCTTGAGTCTTGACGATTATACTGTTGTTTGATATTTGAACGATTTACTCAGGACAGCAATCTGTCATCCAGAGGAGGGGTTATTTGTCAGGATGAGCAAGTTTTTTTTCAAATGAATTCTTCTTCATGAATTTCCTGAAGGAAACAGCGAAGCTAGTTATTGGTTTACAGTCTAATCCCCCTGAGCAAGAATTTTCTGGATCCAATAGTAAGTCCTGTTGACACAGGAGGTCTCAGATCTCGGTCCCGATGGTTAAGCTATGTGGATGCAGGCATCTCATTTCTCCTCATCAAGAACATAGGTTCCTTCCGTCCGCTGCTCTGTCATTAGCACAAGATACCTTCCACCTCCAAGTAGACAGTAGGAGGAAAGGGTGACAATCAAACCTCCCGCCTTGAAGGATGCTCTCTTGGAGGTTGTACGTGCGCGCGCGCGCGCACACACACACACACACACACCTCCCTTTACATCCCATTGGCCAGAATGTAGTCACATAGGTACACCTAATTGCGAGGAAGGCTGGGAAGTGTGACATGTATTCCAAGAGGCCGCCTAACCAGTGAAAAATTGTGACTTTTTTGGGAGGAGGGAGGATGTGGTGGAAATAGTATGTACACATGTATGTAAATGGAAAAATAAGACCTGTTAAAACTGTTCCAGGAATAGTTTTAGCTGGGTGGCCGTGGTTCACGCCTGTAATCCTAGCTACTCAGGAGGTAGAGATCAGGAGCATCTGGACAAATAGTTTTCAAGACCCCGTCACAAAAAGGGCTGGCAGAGTGGCTCAAGGTTAAGGCCCTGAGTTCAAGCCCCAGTACCATAAAAAAGAAAAAAAAAAACCTATTCCAGGAAAGGGAGATAAAGGAAAATGATGGAGGGAGTGAATTTAACTATAATATATTGTAAGAACTTTTGTAAATGTCCCAATGTACCCCCAGCACAACAATACTAATAAAAAAGAAAATAAATAAATAAATAAGAAATATGACTTCTATTACTAAGAAAGAAGCAAAAGAGCCACTAGTGTGGTGGCTCACACCTGTAAGTCCAGCTACTTTGGAGGCAGAGATCAGGAGGATGGAGATTCAAGGCCAGTCCAAGGAAAAAGTTAGTGAGACCCCAACTCAACCAAGAAGCAAGCATGGTGGCACATGCCTGTCACCCCAGCTATGCAGGAGGCCCCAACCCAGGGGAAAACCACAAGACCCTGTCTCAAAACTAACCACTGCAAAAAGGGCTGGTAGAGTGGCTCAAGTAGTAGAGTACCTGCCTAGTAAGTGCAAGGCCCTGAGTTCACACCCCAGTGCTAAAGAAGAGGAAGAAGAAGGAGAAGAGGAGGTAGAGGAGGAGGAGGATAGAAGTTGGTGGCAGTGAACAGTTACCAAAGATGTAATCAAACTATAAAAATAGAATGTGAACATGTGTTGAAGATTTTCCAGTATAGGAGAGAGACACATGCCATAGGATAAATGCTATGAGTGAAAATGGAGAAATCGACATGGGACCAGTGCCTGGAGAGGTGAGGAAGGCCTCACAGAGGAGAAGCAATGGAATAGGGATGTATCCAAGGATAACATGAAGTCACTGTGGGATTATTGTATCGCTAGGAGCACACAGGCAGAATTGTGAAGAACTCCAAGTAGTAAGAGTCAGGACATAGACAAGAACCAGGAAAGATGCTAATAAGTAGTTGGAGAGGCGGAAGGAGAACAAGAGGGTGTAGTGGTGTCCTGGTCAGCAAAGGAGGGTATGAAGTCCTGTGGAGTCAACTGACACAAAAGTCAAAGCTGAACAAAATACAAAGGAAGGTCCCAGGCTTCAGCAATCAGAAGGTATGCTTAGTGGACATGAATTCAGGGTCAGAAGACAGAGTGTCGTGGGTTGAGAAGAAAATGGACGCCAGGAAGGAGTGTGACGACTCAAGACAAGGTGATGGAGCACCATCTTAATAAAAGCAGGAAGGGAGGGAGGGAGGGAAAGAAGAGAGGAGGGAGGAAGGAAGAAAGGGAGAGAGGGAAGGAGGAAGGAAGGAAGGAAGAGAGGGGGAGAGAGGAAGTGAGAGAAAGAGAGAAAGAAAGAAAGAAGGAAAGAAGGAAAGAAAGAGAAAGAGAAAGAAAGAGGAAACCATAAGAATGGTTTGTGGTTTTCAAGGGTGGCTCAAGTGGCACTTCGCCTTTTTCTGTTCCTC